GAAGCCTTTACTCCGGTATCCTGACAGGATCCACAAAGGATTTAAGGCAGCCCTGAGGTGGTGCGTGTTTGTTCTCCACTGATGAATGCAGCAAAATTTATGGGCGTCTCTCAGTTGGGAGACATCCCCAGTTCCTTCGGCCATAAATACAAGCTAAACCTGGAAAAATATAGTTGACCTAGAGAGGGGTGACCATGTCAACTTGGTTTCCAGAAACGATGAAATGGTCCCTGATCCCTCACATCTGTTGCTCTAATAACTTTGGTTTTGCCCCCACAGAGTAAGGGATTGAAAGGAGAGGTTGATGGGTGACGTGTTTGAGTTTCTTCTATAGAGGCCACAGACGGGATGAAGCGATAAGCATCTTCTTCATTCACGTGTCTGGGTTTTTTTGTTGCCTTGTGATGCTTTTATTTTCTTTTTTTAAATTGCCAGAGGCCACATGTGCTCACTAGAGAGAGACAGAGAAAGAGAGGGAGGGTGTGGTCACACTGCAGATCCTTCTCTTCCATTTCTGTATCATGTTGGGTTTTGGGCATGCATGCACATGTGCCACGTTTTTCAAGTCACTAGGGCCAGGCCTTGAACTACGTTCAGCCATGTAGGATCTGGCTCCCTTAACTGGTTGGCTACTGGCCAGCCTGGCCTTTGGGGTTTTCTTTTTTTCTGTCTTTTTTTCTTTGTAGAGGTTTTGCTATAGGGTGTGTGCGCTCGCCAGAAAGAGACAGAGAGATAGAAAGTGAGAAATCACCCCCTGGCGGATGGCCACACCACAATCCCTTCTCCTCCAGTCTCCTCTTGGGATCTTGAGCATGCATGCATGCACACTTGCCTGGCGTGAGTTTAAGCTACCAGGTCTGGGATGCGAACTATGGTCAACTATGTGGGAGTCCAGTGACATGGCTACACCATCTGCTGGTCCCAGCTTTTGGGTTTTCTTTTTTCTTTCTTTCTTTCTTTTTCTTTTTCTTTTTTTTTTTTTTTTTTTTTTTTGAGAGGTTTTTGCTAGAGGGTGTGTGCACTCGCCAGAAAGACAGAGAGAGACAGAGAGCTAGAAAGCAAGAAATCCCCCCCCAGGGGGGATGGCCACACCACAATCCCTTCTCCTCCATTCTCCTCTTGGGATCTTGGGCATGCATGCACACGCGCCTGGCGTGAGTTTAAGCCGCCGGGTCCAGGACTTGAACCGCGGTCAACTACATGAGAGTCCAGCGACATAGCCATTATGCTAACTTATGGTCCCTAGCCTTTGGGGTTTTCTAAACCATGTAAAAAATTACAAGTAAGGGCCATCTCTGACCAACACCCTCTCATTTGTCTCGTTTCCTGGGTGTTCCCTCTGGGAATTACCTTACATTTATCTAAATTAAATCTCACCCTCTGGGGCTGTTTTCCCATTTCTCATTTTTAGTCACTCTGAAACTCTTTCCACTTCCAGGGGGTTCGCAGTTTATTTTGAAAATGTATCTGCAGCCCTGATAAACGTGCCCCCACCTTCCTGTCCATCTAACAGGATGATAGAGCTCTCTCTGAAATCTACCTCTACTCACTGAATTGTGACGTTCTCGTTATTGTCCGTGATTCCTGTCGCTTACCGTGTAGCAGTGTGGCGAGTCACAGAGCACGAGTGGAAGGGGGTGAGCCTCAGACGCTGTGATGCACAGACCAGGTTCCCGCTCTCGCAATTCTCTGAGCCCAAACGCTGGGGAGACAAGGACAAAGAGTGTTGGCAGTATTCTGTTTTTGTGATGAGTAAAGACCAGAAGAACAGATTTGTCATTACTCCCTGGACTCCTTTCACTTCCTCCCCGATAATCACACCTTCACTTAGTTGTGTTCTGTTAGCGTGGAGTTCGTGAGGTTGATCACTGAGGCTGGTATCCAAGCGAGTGGGAAATGATGCAGACACACACACACTGTACTATACCTTTGTGCCCTGCACAGATATTTATATCGACCGGTTTACGAAAGGTCAAGTTTTGCTGTTCTATTTGTCAGTCATTCTAATGTAGTCTTTCTGCTCATTCGTTTTAATAATTTTATTAATTTGCATTGACAGATATGAATTATACATACAGCCATGCCCCTCACTTGCAGTTTTACTTTCCTAGCATCGTATGATAAATATTTTGAGAGACAGAGACCACATTCATAAGGTTTTTTTGAGAGGTTTTTGCTAGAGGGTGTGTGCACTCGCCAGAAAGACAGAGAGAGACAGAGAGCTAGAAAGCAAGAAATCACCCCCCAGGGGGGATGGCCACACCACAATCCCTTCTCCTCCATTCTCCTCTTGGGATCTTGGGCATGCATGCACACGCGCCTGGCGTGAGTTTAAGCCGCCGGGTCCAGGACTTGAACCGCGGTCAACTACATGAGAGTCCAGCGACATAGCCATTATGCTAACTTATGGTCCCTAGCCTTTGGGGTTTTCTAAACCATGTAAAAAATTACAAGTAAGGGCCAGCAGGTGGTGTGGAAATTAAGGCACTGGATCACGCATGACCAGCTGCATTGTTTTAGTCCCAGCCCTGTTCGCTTGAAAATCACATTGCAGCAGGGCCATCTCCCTTGGGAGATAATTTTTCACCCCCATTGTCCCTTACCCCCAGCAAGCCACATACCCTATAGCAAAAAATTTTAAAAAATCAAAGTGAAAAAAAACTACAGTAAGATTGGAAGGTGGTTGGGCCAGCTGGTGACGTGGTGGCTAAGGTGCTAGATTCCACTGTGGTTCAAGTCTAGAACCTGGTGGCCTGTAAAGTTTGCCAGGCACATGTGCATGTGTGCCCAAAATCCTGACAGGAGGGAGAAATGCAGGAGAAGGGACTGTGGCATGGCCATTCTCTGTGAGTAGTGATTTCTCACTCCCCAGTCTCCCACTTCCGTCTCGCTCTGGCAAGTGTACACACCTGGCAAAATTAAAAAGAAAAACAAAGATTGTAGGTTATGCTTGAAAGTGTCAGTTTTTTGGACTGAGTTCTTAGTCAGAGATCTCCTTTTCAGGTGGAGGAAGCAGAACTTCATTCATTGAGCCTAGATCCCCAGTCTGGTTTCCCAGCCAACCATTTACAGACCATGTGACCTTGGCCAAGTGATACCACATCCCTGAGCCTGTTTCCTCATCTGTTAAATGTGGTTAAAAGCAATTTCTTGGTAGAATCGAGATAATGTATGTAAAATGTATAGATTTAAATAGGGACTCAGTAAGTGATAGATAATGTCTTTTTTTTTGGAGAGGTTTTTGCTATAGGGCGTGTGCGCTCGCCAGAGAGAGACAGAGAGACAGAAAGTGAGAAATCACCTCCCAGGGTGGATGGGCACGCACACACATGTGCCCGGCGTGAGTTTAAGCTACCAGGTCTGGAACTCGAACCACAGTCAACTACATGGGAGTCCATTTTGGACTGAGTTCTTAGTCAGAGATCTCCTTTTCAGGTGGAGGAAGCAGAACTTCATTCATTGAGCCTAGATCCCCAGTCTGGTTTCCCAGCCAACCATTTACAGACCATGTGACCTTGGCCAAGTGATACCACATCCCTGAGCCTGTTTCCTCATCTGTTAAATGTGGTTAAAAGCAATTTCTTGGTAGAATCGAGATAATGTATGTAAAATGTATAGATTTAAATAGGGACTCAGTAAGTGATAGATAATGTCTTTTTTTTTGGAGAGGTTTTTGCTATAGGGCGTGTGCGCTCGCCAGAGAGAGACAGAGAGACAGAAAGTGAGAAATCACCTCCCAGGGTGGATGGGCACGCACACACATGTGCCCGGCGTGAGTTTAAGCTACCAGGTCTGGAACTCGAACCACAGTCAACTACATGGGAGTCCAGCAACATAGCCATTACGCTAACTGCTGGTCGAAGTGATAACCTTAATAATTATCTTAGAGCAATCCTAGAAGCCTCTGCCAGGTACCCAGGGGATCTTGGCTTCTGTGTAGCTTCTTTTTGTCTTTCATCTGTTGACTGGGAGGAGCTACTGAGTCACATAGTTGATGCTTAATAAGTGCTTGTTGAATGCACAAGGGAGCCTTGGTACCTTCTTTGGTTTTGCCTTTAAGCAGCAGTCCCTGCTGTGAGTTTTGCACTGGAAGATGTCCTGGGGAATGCTTGGAGAAAACTGACTAGATAGACTTGGAGAGAGCTATAGAGTCTGCACTGTGCAGATTCTAGTCCTCTCTGGAGATCAATGGTACATATCATTGTTTTAGAAGAGCTGTGGAAATGTCTTAGGTTATTATTTATTTATTTATTTTTGGCCGGAGGGTATGTGCACTCATCAGAGAGGGACAGAGGAAGAGGAGAAAGAGAAAGCAACCTCCCCCCTCCCCACATTGCCATGGGGAATGGCCAGACTACAATTCCTTCTCCTCCATGTCTTCCTCCTTTGAAGTTTTGGCCAAGTGCACACTCCCAGTGTTTTGCTTAAGCTACTGGGTCCAGGACTTGAACTGCTCAGTCAGTCATGCGGGATCTAGTTGCCTTCATCACCAGGCCATGGAGCCAACTCGAGAAGACTGAGCTTTTTAAACCTGGCATTTTCCAGCTCATTCTGACCGTGTAGGGCAATGTTGTACAGGAGAATGACAGCACTTCCTGAGACTGGGAGGAGGGCTTTAACAAGTTAACATTTAGGCCATGGCTGGGCCTGGGAAGCACCAGGAAGGGGCTGCTAGAACTGACTGTAAAGCGCTTTTTACTTTGTGGACTCTTCCAGCGTATTTAACCGTTCCCTTACTGACGAGCACTTAAGTATTTCCAGTGGTGCAGTGATGTGGATAGTGCTGCAGTAAAACCCTTACATCCTGGTGCAGATATTTCGGTGGAAGAGATCCTTAGAGGTAGAACTGCTGGGTCAAAAGATACATACTTTCAAAAGTTGGATAGATCCTTCGGAAATGCCCTCCAAAATCTGATCAACTGTGACCTAGCAGTTTATTTGCCCAGTGAAGAGATAAGCAGCTATCTTCCCATCCACACGTGTGCCGGATCCTTCTCCTGCGAGCCTGACCAGAACTAGAATGGAACACAGCTGAATGCCACCCCTCTCTTCTCTCTTGCAGAGTCTGGCCACAGATAAGGGACCAAAATGACGGACTCAAAATATTTCACCACGACCAAGAAAGGTACTGTTTCATGATGAGCTGCGTCCTCCTCTTTCCTTCCCTGACCCTTCTTCCCTGCTTCCTCTGGGTGGGATGGAATGACCTCGAGCTTCTTTACCTTGTATATCTGGAAAATTGAACTGCTCGTGCCGTAGAAACTGCCTGCAACTTGTATAACTGAGGAAGGGAAGAGCTTTATTTCCATGTATAGAAACAAAGCTCCCTTTCATTCCCTGTAGCTTAGAATAGTGAAATACGATATTCTTTCCC